GTTATAATCTTTTGTGGTGAAATTCGTGACGTTCTAGATCGTCGACCATGTTGCGTTTTGAAGAATAAGGTTCGCACATTTTTTTTCAGGCACTATACATTTTTTATTTGGAAAAACGATGTTGCCAGATTTCGCTTAGCAAAGAAACAGCGGTGGGAACCTTGAAGTAGTAGCATCTAAAACCTAGAATCAGACTTGATGATGACAGTGATGATGATGTTGTTGATGGTGATAACGATGTTGATGATGATGACGATGACGTTGATGATGACAATGATGTTGATAAATGATAAATTTTAATAGTTTTTTCTTCGGACATTGTTTGAAATCGGCAATAGTTCAGCTTTAAACAGAGACATAGCAAAATGATAAATACAACAAGATAATAAACAACATTTACACTCTGATAAACTTAAAGTCATTATACAAACATTTATGTATTAAAAAACAATACCTAAAGTGATTTTGATTTGCTATTCCTACCTTTTGGAAGGATGATAAAGATTTTGGGACCAAGTACGTTTGACAATTTATGATCTACTTTAAATTTAGAAAAGTTGGCGTGTGTATTGTTACTCTGCCTCGGGGCAACTGTGTGTATTTCTCTGATCAGTGTGATTTAAAGCTTGAACATCGAAAACAACTAATGAATGTCAACACATCCTCACACATCCTACCTCCAAATCATAATCCTCAAAGCTACTGGCCCTCCTCAACGCGCACGGATCACTAGCGTCTCTCAACCTCAATTCACTAAGTTCACACCCGCCGTTCACTTTTTGGTGACACCTTCCCTTTCCGATGATCTCAGGTACCCGAAACGACAGTTTCTTCCTGGGTTTCTCCAAAGCCAAGGCTTCTGCACATCTGGGGATGTCCTCGCACGCGGGGGCGTGCGCCCCTTCGGAGACGGCGTCCACCGGGAGGTCGTCCTCGTCGGTGATTTCGATTTTGATCGGGTACGAACCCACGGAATGCTGTTTGTGGAGACCTGCGGGTTGGTTCGAAAGGGTTGGCCATGGGGAGAGAACCTCGCATTTAGGCTTGCTATTTGTTCAATACTGTTTCTTTTTTTACAATGTATGATCTACACAGGGCGTGGTCAAAAATTGTAGGGTCCAGAGACAAATCTAGTGACATTGGTCATTTAGAGGTCAATTTGAAAACATTAAATGGGACGGTATACTTCAGACTTTACTGACGGAAGCGGTATAAAATATATCACTATGAACGTTGCCTTTAAAGTCAACTTCCAAATCCTATAATGAAGAATCGTTTTTTTAATTCGTATATAGATAGAAAGCATAAAAAACCATGTCTACCTCTAAATGACCTTCTGGTCTGGTCATCTCAGAACATAAAATGTTTCACATAGGTCAGAAAAATACGGTCGACCTTGAAATTCGTCGCCAAGGTCACCGTTACTTTATTTATACTATTATTCTTTACCGTTTTTTTCTTTATTTGAACAGTGATAATACCTTTTTGCATCTCATGCTGATTATCCGCCAGCTCTTAGCGTAAGAGATACGATGCCATTGAGTATGTTGCAATAGGAAAAGTTCAATATCAAGGTCATATATTTCTATACTTAGATTTCCCATTTCGAAATTGTATATCGGACTTGTTTATGAACTGCTTACAATCTAAGGTGTCTGTATTATGTACATTTGACTACCGGACAGCAAAATCAGGAGTAGCACCTTCAAAGTATATTTGCGTACTTTATAAACATCAGTTCCGATGAAATGTTAAGACTTTGGCTACTGCTCTCAAAATAAATCACTTTTCAAGCTTCAAGTCTTGACGAATTGTTTTATCTACTTGTCTTTGAACTTTCCACCGCGGCATTAAGTTGTTAATGGACTGTAACGTCACCTTCATTTCTAAGGTACACTGTGTTCCGGAACGAAAGAAAAATCTATATAACAGAGCTTGCCAGACATTAGTTGAAAGACGAAACGTGGGGAAATGAATAATGTTTACATGCATTTTCAACTTGACTAGAGGGTCAATCATTGTACTAGATGTAAAAATATGACTAACTTAAATTCTAATGACAGATTTTTATATATTGACACGCCCTCGTACTCGACTTAGGCACCAGAAATACCACCGCAGCGATAGGATTCGTCCGCTATCTAGCAGGCTGATATGAAGGCTCAAGTTCGGCGAGGAAAATGCGGGACCACTCTGGATTCGTCGATTCGAAGATAAATACACACAAAGGATACAGCAGACTCAGTAACAGCGCAGAACGCGATAGTCCAGGCGTCATGGTCATAAATTTGTAATAAATAGTTGCAAGCGTTGTAATATATTTTAAAATTAAACTAGATGCAAATAAAAAATTCATAAGCTAGTACTTATGTCCAAAACTATGTACTTAAGAGAAAAGCTGATCTTTAGGAATAAGGATACTCCTATTCTATGTACAGCTAGAGCAGTTAAATTCAACCCAGCTTGGATCCAGTTTAAGCACGTTTAAACAAATAGCAACCTAACATCTTAGTTCGTATGAACGTAGATACTTTTTCAGACAGTACTTTATCCGATATCCGTACAAACTATCTTTCTCATCCCAACAATGAACCCTTCTAACCTTGCTTCTTCTTCGGCTCGTCCACTCTCGAAGTATTAGCGTAGATATGGTTCTTGCTCTGTCCGCCGTGCTTGAAGAAATAGTCTAACGTCACTTGAGTCATGGATTTTGCCATTCCTTTCTTATGAGCTTCGGAGACTTCAAGATTTCGATGTTTCAAAGCGTCGCTCAAGTTGAGCAGTTTGTGCCTAGCGCGTTGAAGCATGTCGCTATGCTTCTTCTTGGTGACCGCTTCCACGTCAGGCATCTCGAGACTGGTGTGTCTGGTACGTTTGTTCTTTAGGCTTTTTGCTGCTCATGGTGCTTCACGATGGGTTTTGGTTACATTTTCGCATCAAGGTTCTTCCGAACCGAGATTTTAATTGAGGAAAGGTCATTGATGCCAACTGTTTTGTCGACGCAAAATACTTATTGCAGCAAGGCAGGAACCTCATTTGTGGAAGAAAGCGATAATCAAAATAGAAAAGCTTCTGCTCTCTCTGATAACTATTGTTTATCGTTAGGAGTAGTCAAAAATAACACCTCACAAAAAATAAAGGTGGGACGCTCCATGATATTCTTATGTGATAATTCGGAATCAGAAGTCTTGTTAGATGTCTAGAATTTACTAAAATTGTAGTTTGAAAAACCCATACACCACTAAAATCCACCCCTGGGCCCAAAATCTACCCTAGGAAGCGTGCAAATTGAGTTATGGATTCCAGATGTTGGATCATGTTATTCCCTTGTATTTTTCAACGATGAATCGGAATTTGTAGTTGAAAATATCCATGCTCCCCGAAGTTTACCCCTGGGCCCAAAGAATACCCTAGAAAGCGTGCAAATTGAGTTTTGGATGCTAGATGCTGGATCATGTTATTCCCTTGTATTTTTCAACCATGAATCGGAATTTGTAGTTGAAAATATCCATGCTCCCCAAAGTTTACCCCTGGGCCCAAAGAATATCCCTAGGAAGCGCGCAAATTGAGTTTTGGATTACAGATGTTGGATCATGTTATTCCCTTGTATTTTTCAAGGATGAATCGGAATTTGTAGTTGAAAATATCCATGCTCTCCAAAGTTTACCCCTGGGCCCAAAGAATACCCCTAGGAAGCGTGCAAATTGAGTTTTGGACTCCAGATGTTGGATCATGTTATTCCCTTGTAATTTTCAACGATGAATCGGAATTTGTAGTTGAAAATATCCATGCTCCCCAAAGTTTACCCCTGGGCCCAAAGAATACCCCTAGGAAGCGTGCAAATTGAGTTTTGGATTCTAGATGTTGGATCATGTTATTCCCTTGTATTTTTCAACGATGAATCGGAATTTGTAGTTGAAAATATCCATGCTCCCCAAAGTTTACCCCTGGGCCCAAAGGATACCCCTAGGAAGCGTGCAAATTGAGTTTTGGATTCCAGATGTTGGATCATGTTATTCCCTTGTATTTTTCAACGATGAATCGGAATTTGTAGTTGAAAATATCCATGCTCCCCAAAGTTTACCCCTGAGCCCAGAAAATGCTCCTAGAAAGTGTGCAAATTGAGTTTTGGATGCCAGATGCTGGATCATGTTATTCCCTTGTATTTTTCAGAGATGAATCGGAATTTGTAGTTGAAAATATCCATGCTCCCCAAAGTTTACCCCTGGGCCCAAAGAATGCTCCTAGAAAGTGTGCAAATTGAGTTTTGGATGCTAGATGCTGGATCATGTTAATCTCTTGTATTTTTCAAAGGTGAGTCGGAATTTGTAGTTGAAAATATCCATGCTACCTAAAGTTTACCCCTGGGCCCAAAGAATACCCCTAGGAAGCGTGCAAATTGAGTTTTGGATTTCAGATGTTGGATCATGTTATTCCCTTGTATTTTTCAACGATGAATCGGAATTTGTAGTTGAAAATATCCATGCTCCCCGAAGTTTACCCCTGGGCCCAAAAAATGCTCCTAGAAAGTGTGTAAATTGAGTTTTGGATGCCAAATGCTGGATCATGTTATTCCCTTGTATTTTTCAAGGATGAATCGGAATTTGTAGTTGAAAATATCCATGCTCTCCAAAGTTTACCCCTGGGCCCAAAGAATACCCCTAGGAAGCGTGCAAATTGAGTTTTGGACTCCAGATGTTGGATCATGTTATTCCCTTGTAATTTTCAACGATGAATCGGAATTTGTAGTTGAAAATATCCATGCTCCCCAAAGTTTACCCCTGGGCCCAAAGAATACCCCTAGGAAGCGTGCAAATTGAGTTTTGGATTCTAGATGTTGGATCATGTTATTCCCTTGTATTTTTCAAGGATGAATCGGAATTTGTAGTTGAAAATATCCATGCTCTCCAAAGTTTACCCCTGGGCCCAAAGAATACCCCTAGGAAGCGTGCAAATTGAGTTTTGGACTCCAGATGTTGGATCATGTTATTCCCTTGTATTTTTCAACGATGAATCGGAATTTGTAGTTGAAAATATCCATGCTCCCCGAAGTTTACCCCTGGGCCCAAAAAATGCTCCTAGAAAGTGTGTAAATTGAGTTTTGGATGCCAAATGCTGGATCATGTTATTCCCTTGTATTTTTCAAGGATGAATCGGAATTTGTAGTTGAAAATATCCATGCTCCACAAAGTTTACCCCTGGGCCCAGGGAATACCCCTAGGAAGCGTGCAAATTGAGTTTTGGGTGCCAGATGCTGGATCTTGTTATTCCCTTGTATTTTTCAACGATGAATCGGAATTTGTAGTTGAAAATATCCATGCTCCCCAAAGTTTACCCCTGGGCCCAAGGAATACGCCTAGGAAGCGTGCAAATTGAGTTTTGGATGCCAGATGTTGGATCATGTTATTCCCTTGTATTTTTCAACGATGAATCGGAATTTGTAGTTGAAAATATCCATGCTCCCCGAAGTTTACCCCTGGGCCCAAAAAATGCTCCTAGAAAGTGTGCAAATTGAGTTTTGGATGTCAGATGCTGGATCATGTTATTCCCTTGTATTTTTCAACGACGAATCGGAATTTTAGTTGAAAATATCCATGCTTCCCAAAGTTTACCCCTGGGCCCAAAGAATACCCCTAGAAGGTGTGCAAATTGAGTTTTGGATGCCAGATGCTGGATCATGTTATTCCCTTGTATTTTTCAACGATGAATCGGAATTTGTAGTTGAAAATATCCATGCTCCCCAAAGTTTACCCCTGAGCCCAGAAAATGCTCCTAGAAAGTGTGCAAATTGAGTTTTGGATGCCAGATGCTGGATCATGTTATTCCCTTGTATTTTTCAGAGATGAATCGGAATTTGTAGTTGAAAATATCCATGCTCCCCAAAGTTTACCCCTGGGCCCAAAGAATGCTCCTAGAAAGTGTGCAAATTGAGTTCTGGATGCCAGATGCTGGATCTTGTTATTCCCTTGTATTTTTCAACGATGAATCGGAATTTGTAGTTGAAAATATCCATGCTTCCCAAAGTTTACCCCTGGGCCCAAAGAATACCCCTAGGAAGCGTGCAAATTGCCAGATGCTGGATCATGTTATTCCCTTGTATTTTTCAACGATGAATCGGAATTTGCAGTTGAAAATATCCATGCTCCCCAAAGTTTACCCCTGGGCCCAAAGAATACCCCTAGGAAGCGTGAACATTGAGTTTTCGGATGTCAGTTGCTGGAGCATGGTATTGCCATGTAATTTTCAACGTTGAATTAGAATTTGTGGTTGAATACATCCATACGCCCCCTGAACTTTACCCCTAGATCCAAAACTACCCCTAGGAGGCGTGAACATTGAGTTTTTGGATGCCATATGCTGGAGCATGGTATATCCATGTATTTTTCAATGTTGAGTCGGAATTTATGATTAAAAATATCCATACTCCCATAAAAGTCACCCCTGGGCCCAAAAACGACCCCTAGGAGGAGTGAAAATTGAGTTTCGGATGCCAGATGCTAGAGCATGGCATTCCTATGTATTTTTCAGCATTGAATTGGAATTTACGGTTAAAAATATCCATGCTCCCCAAAGTTTACCCCTGGGCCCAAAGAATACCCCTAGGAAGCGTGAAAATTGAGTTTCGGAGCATGGTATTCCCAAGTATTTTTCAACGTTGAATTGGAATTTGTGGTTGAATACATCCATAAGGGTCCCCTGAACTTTACCCCTAGATCCAAAACTACCCCTAGGAGGCGTGAACATTGAGTTTTTGGATGCCATATGCTGGAGCATGGTATATTCATGTATTTTTCAATGTTGAGTCGGAATTTATGATTAAAAATATCCATACTCCCATAAAAGTCACCCCTGGGCCCAGAAACGACCCCTAGGAGGCGTGAAAATTGGGTTTCGGATGCCAGATGCATGGTATTCCTATGTATTTTTCGGCATTGAGTCGGAATTTACGGTTAAAAATATCCATGCCCCCCAAAGTTTACCCCTGGGCCAAAAGAATACCCCTAGGAAGCGTGAACATTGAGTTTTCGGATGTCAGTTGCTGGAGCATGGTATTGCCATGTAATTTTCAACGTTGAATTAGAATTTGTGGTTGAATACATCCATACGCCCCCTGAACTTTACCCCTAGATCCAAAAATACCCCTAGGAGGCGCGAACATTGAGTATTTGGATGCCATATGCTGGAGCATGGTATATCCATGTATTTTTCAATGTTGAGTCGGAATTTATGATCAAAAATATCCATACTCCCATAAAAATCACCCCTGGGCCCAACAACGACCCCTAGGAGGCGTGAAAATTGAGTTTCGGATGCCAGATGCTGGAGCATGGCATTCCTACGTATTTTTCAGCATTGAATCGGAATTTACGGTTAAAAATATCCATACTCCCCAAAAAGTCACCCCTGGGCCCAAGAAGGAGAAGTGAAAATTGAATTCTGGATGCCAGATGCAAAAGCATAGTGTTCCCATGTATTTTTCGATGCTGAATCCAAATTTGTGGTTGAAAAGATCCCACCCTAGAGTTCACCACCGTGCACAAAAACCACCCGTTTAACACTGCCCTGTTTCCCGTCGATCCGGTTTTCGCATCACTTTTAGGGACAAACAGATGGCATCAATAACGTCTCCAACTTGAAACAAAAGCTCTTTGATTGTTCTAATTTATGATTATGCATATTTAAACTTTATTAAATTTACGTATCCGAAATCTAGACAGAATTCAGGCAGTTACAGGCAAAATGTTTCAAAAGAAGAGCTTTAAGAAAACACATAAATAGAAACATTGCTCTGGCTTCAAATTTTTTCGTAAGAGCATTTATGACTGCTAAATTACCGAAAAAAAATCCATTAACATTCCAGATAATATTAGACGCACTGAAACAAGATCATGTTTATAAAACATTGATGTTACTATCTCTACCAGATGGGCAGATCATTCATTTTATTTTGATGCAAACACAGAATGTTTCGAGAGTTTAGTCATTATTAACGTATTTTATCTGGAGATTAAAGTAGGCATTAGAAACGTTAAAAAGATCCAGAACCTGACTCTATTTGTAATTTTTTTTCTGCAACTGCCTCATATATGTTGTATCTGTTTGGACACCAGAATACAGTATATGGCTGATTATTTTCAGCTCAAATATGTGAGTATCGTACTGATGATTCCCAGCAAGGACGAGACGGCGCCGCATACGATTGGTTGCA